AGCGGACGCTTTGAGGAGCAGTACACCCCCACCATAGAGGACTTTCACCGGAAAGTCTACAACATCCACGGGGAGGTCTACCAGCTGGACATCCTCGACACCTCAGGCAATCATCCCTTCCCAGCTATCAGGAGGCTATCCATCCTGACAGGTAAGGGGGTGACACACACACACACACACACTGACAGATAGGGGGCGACAGAGAGAGAGAGAGAGACGGCCAGTGTGTTTGTGACTGTATGTGTGGTGTACAGCGTGTGTGCACCGAGTGTGTGCACAGTGTGTGTATAGTATATGTGCACTGTGTGTGTTTGGTGTACAGTGTATGTGTATAGTATGTGTGTACAGTGTGTGTGTGGTGTACAGTGTGTGTACAATGTACAGTGAGTAACGGGTCCTGTGTCTACAGTGTACAGTGAGTGTGTAAAGTGTACGATCTGTGTACAGTATGTATATGTACAGTGTAGAGTGTGTGTACAGTGTGTATAGTGTACAGTGTGTATAATGTACAGTGTGTATAGTGTACAGTGTGTATACAGTGTGTGTACAGAATAGTGTGTGTGCAAAATGTACAGTGTGTGTGTAGTGTACAGTGAGTATCAGATCATATGTGTACATTGTACAGTGAGTAACTGTGTGTACAGTGTACAATGCGTGTCTAGAGTGTACAGTGTGTGTGTACAGTGCAGTGTGTGTACATGGTACAGTCAGGAATGGGGACTGTGTGCACAGTGTACAGTGAGTATACAGTGTGTGTGTACAGTGTATGTACAGTGGGTGTGCACAGTGTGTACCGTGTGTGTACAGTGTGTGTACAGTGTGTGTGCAGTGTGTGGGTACAGTGAGTGTGTGTACAGTGTGTGTGTACAGTGTGTGTACAGTGTGTACAGTGTGTGTGTTCAGTGGGTGTGCACAGTGTGCACAGTGTGTGTACAGTGTACAGTGTGTGATGAGCCGCTGTGTGTTTACAGGGGACATCTTTGTGTTGGTGTTCGAGTTGGACAGTCGTACTTCCTTTGAGGAAGTGGAACGTTTGCACCGACAGATCCTGGAGTGTAAGACCTGCCTGAGAACCAGGGCGGGGGCCGGGGCGGGGGCCGGGCTGGGGGTCCCCATCATGCTGGTGGGGAACAAGGCTGACCGGGGGGAGCCCCTGCGGGCTGTGCGGGGGGAGGAGGCCGAGCAGCTGATCGCCGGAGATCAGAACAGCTCCTACTTTGAGATCTCGGCCAAGAGGAACACCAACCTGGAGGGGATGTTCCGGGCGCTGCTCAGTATGTCCCAACTGCCCCACGAGATGAGCCCTGCGCTCCACCGCAAGGTCTCTGTGCAGTACAGCGAGGCCTTCCACCGCAAGTGCTCCCGCTCCCGCTCCCGCTCCCGGGGGGACAAGGACAAGGTGGCCCTGGGGATGGTCTCCCCCTTCGCCCGGCGCCCGAGCGTCAACACCGACCTCATGTACCTCAAGGCCAAGGTCCTGGGGGGTGAACAGGACCGACACAGAGAGAAGTGCAGCCTCCAGTAACACAGCCCCGGGCCGGGGGGAGGGGGGGGGATGGATGGACTGGTTACCTTCTCCTCTCCTTCCCCCTTCTCCCGCTGCTTCTCCCCTCACACTCCCCCTTTCCCCCCAAAGCCCCCATCAAAGAGCTCAATTTCAGGTAAAATATCGACCGTTCATTTAGTATAAAAGTTCCACATTGCTGTGTGGGGGGAGGGGGGCCTGTGGGGGAGGGGTGCAGTGATGGGTGTGGGGAGGACCCCCGGGTGGGGGGGGGGAGTCACGGTGGGGAGGGGCGGGGGAGCTTTACTGGGGGATCGGGGGGAGGGGCCTGGGTGGAGGGATGTGGGGGGCCCCAGGGGGAGGGGTATAGTGCTGGGACAGGACACGTGTATAGCCCCCCACCCTCTCCGCTCAGACCCACACGGACAGAGAGAGACCATCACTTTGTCTGTATTTATACTTATTAAACCTTACAATTGAAAAGGAACTTTCACCGTCAGTGCTTCCGAACCAGAACAGTCGGGAGTGTGTGAGGTACAGGTGGCGAGTGTGTGAGGTACAGGTGGAGAGTGTGTGAGGTACAGGTGGAGAGTGTGTGAGGTACAGGTGGAGAGTGTGTGAGGTACAGGTGGAGAGTGTGTGAGGTACAGGTGGAGAGTGTGTGAGGTACAGGTGGAGAGTGTGTGAGGTACAGGTGGAGAGTGTGTGAGGTACAGGTGGCGAGTGTGTGAGGTACAGGTGGAGAGTGTGTGAGGTACAGGTGGAGAGTGTGTGAGGTACAGGTGGAGAGTGTGTGAGGTACAGGTGGCGAGTGTGTGAGGTACAGGTGGAGAGTGTGTGAGGTACAGGTGGAGAGTGTGTGAGGTCCAGGTGGAGAGTGTGTGAGGTACAGGTGGAGAGTGTGTGAGGTACAGGTGGAGAGTGTGTGAGGTACAGGTGGAGAGTGTGTGAGGTACAGGTGGAGAGTGTGTGAGGTACAGGTGGAGAGTGTGTGAGGTACAGGTGGCGAGTGTGTGAGGTACAGGTGGCGAGTGTGTGAGGTACAGGTGGAGAGTGTGTGAGGTACAGGTGGAGAGTGTGTGAGGTACAGGTGGAGAGTGTGTGAGGTACAGGTGGAGAGTGTGTGAGGTACAGGTGGAGAGTGTGTGAGGTACAGGTGGAGAGTGTGTGAGGTACAGGTGGAGAGTGTGTGAGGTACAGGTGGCGAGTGTGTGAGGTACAGGTGGAGAGTGTGTGAGGTACAGGTGGAGAGTGTGTGAGGTACAGGTGGAGAGTGTGTGAGGTACAGGTGGCGAGTGTGTGAGGTACAGGTGGAGAGTGTGTGAGGTACAGGTGGAGAGTGTGTGAGGTCCAGGTGGAGAGTGTGTGAGGTACAGGTGGAGAGTGTGTGAGGTACAGGTGGAGAGTGTGTGAGGTACAGGTGGAGAGTGTGTGAGGTCCAGGTGGAGAGTGTGTGAGGTACAGGTGGAGAGTGTGTGAGGTACAGGTGGAGAGTGTGTGAGGTACAGGTGGAGAGTGTGTGAGGTACAGGTGGAGAGTGTGTGAGGTACAGGTGGAGAGTGTGTGAGGTACAGGTGGAGAGTGTGTGAGGTACAGGTGGCGAGTGTGTGAGGTACAGGTGGAGAGTGTGTGAGGTACAGGTGGAGAGTGTGTGAGGTACAGGTGGAGAGTGTGTGAGGTACAGGTGGAGAGTGTGTGAGGTACAGGTGGAGAGTGTGTGAGGTACAGGTGGAGAGTGTGTGAGGTACAGGTGGAGAGTGTGTGAGGTACAGGTGGAGAGTGTGTGAGGTACAGGTGGCGAGTGTGTGAGGTACAGGTGGAGAGTGTGTGAGGTACAGGCAGAGTGTGTGTGTGTGAGGTACAGGCAGAGTGTGTGTGTGTGAGGTACAGGGCTGGGGGATGGACTGGGTCCCAGGGACTGAACTGGGGGTGTGGGGGGGGATGGGAACTGATCTCTGTGAGTCAGTGGGAAGAGAAGTTATGAGAACCTCTGCTCCTGAGGTTTACCGGCCGGGTGTCTGTCACACACGGACACCCGTCACCGTGACCATCCGGGTGTCTGTCACACACGGACACCCGTCACCGTGACCATCCGGGTGTCTGACACACACGGAAACACATGACCATGTTCAAGAAACTCCAAACTAGACTGAAAGTTTCATGTGTCTCTCCCTGGAGTGACGCCGAGAAACCGGGAGACAATGCAGGATTTCCCAACCTTGGACGCTCCCAGAACCACCATCCGGTAGGAGTTCTTGGCCGGAACCTGCAGCAACAATCCATCCGACTGACAGGTCCTTATCATCCCGCTGGCCGGCCACAAGCCTGAATCCCGGGAACGCTCAGCAATCCAGGACCTGACCTGAAAACAGCATTTCATTTCATCACCGACAGGTCAGGAGGACGTCTCAAAGCGCTTCACAGGATTCACTGTAAAGTGACTGTGTCCTTTGTGAGAAAGCACAGCAGCCAACTTGCACATGAATCAGAGAATTATACCGCACAGAAGGAGGCCATTCGGCCCATCGTGTCTGTGCCGGCGAGAAAAGAGCTTCCAAATCAACCCCACTTCCCCGCGCTCTCCCCATAGCCCATCAACCCCACTCCCACCGCTCTCTCCCCATAGCTCTGATCAACCCCACTCCCCCGCTCTCTCCCCATAGCCCTGATCAACCCACTCCCACTCTCTCCCCATAGCTCTGATCAACCCCACTCCCCCGCGCTCTCCCCATAGCCCTGATCAACCCCAATACCCCGCTCTCTCCCCATAGCCCCGATCAACCCCACTCCCCTGAGCTCTCCCCATAGCCCTGATCAACCCCACTCCCGCGCTCTCTCCCCATAGCCCTACAAACTTGTCCCCGAATAATTATCTGCTTCTCTCTTAAAAGTTATTATGGAATCGGTTCCCATCGGCCTTTCAGGCAATGATTCCGGATCCCAACAACTCGTTGTGTGAAAGCATTTCTCCTCANCCCCCCCTCTGTTTCTTTTAATAACTATTTTAAATCGGTGCCCTCGGGTTACCGACCCACCCACCGGGGGAATAGTTTCTCTTTGTTCACCCTTTCGAATCCCCTCATAATTTTGAAAACTTCTATTAAGTTTCCCCTTAACCTTCTCTGCTCCGAGGAGAGTAATCCTCACTTCTCTACCTCTCCTGATCACTGAAGCCCCTCATTCCTGGTACCATTCTGGGAAATCTCCTTTGCTCCCTCTCCAATGCCTTGACAAAGGGCGAAACCGTGGGCAAGTTTACTCCCCACACCTAACAATAAACCCGCCAAAAAACAAATCCACGACTGTCTGTGGGACACTGTTGTGTGCAATTGGCCGCTGCGTTTCACCCACAAATATACAGTGAATTCACTTTACAGTCTATTCTGTGAAGCGCTTTGAGACATCGAGAAGACATGAAAAGCACTATATCAAATGCAACGATTGTTATTATTATCCTTCCTAAAGGTGTGGGGCCCAGAGCTGAACACAGTCTCTACCTGAGGCCTAACCAGTGTTTTATATAAAGGTTCATCATAACTTCCTGACTGGTGTATTCTATGCCACTATTTATAAAGTCTCGTATCCCATATGCTTTTTTAACAGCTTTATCTACCTGTCCGGCACCTTCAAAGATTTACCATATGACCCCTCAGGTCTCTCTGTCCCTTCACCTCCTTTAAGGTACCATCGGCTTATATTGTCTTTCCTCATTCTTCCTCCCAAAAAAAGGCATCACTTCGCAGTTCTCCACATTAAACCTCATCTGCCCCGTGTCTGCCCGTGTTACCAGTCTGTCTATGTCCTCTTGCAGTCGGTTACTATCCTCCTCACTGATTACTGCTTTTCCAGCTTAGTATCATCTGCAAACTTGGAGATTGTGCTCTCTGTACCCGTCCAGGTCATTTATACAGATCACAAACAGCAGTGGCCCCAATACCGACCCCGGGGGTCACCACTGCACTTCCCTCCAGAAGTTCACCACCGCTCTCTGCTCTCTGTCTCCCAGACAGTTCTGTATCCACTGCCACTGTCCCTTTAATACCGGGGGCTTCTATTTTGCTTATAAGTCTCTTATGTGGCACTTTATCAAACACCTTTTGAAAATTCATATAAACTACATCAACTGCACTACCTTCACCCCCCCTCTCCGTTACTGCATCAAACAACTCTATCAGGTTTGTTGGACATGATTTGCTTTTCATAGAATCACAGAATCATAGAATCATAATCGTACAGCACAAAAAGAGGCCATTCGACCCATCGAGTCTCTTTGAGAAGAGCAATGTAATGTCAGTCCCACTCCCCGGCCCTTTCCCCATAACCTGCAAACCCGTCCTCCTCAAATACCCGTCCACTGCGTTTTTAAAAGTAGTTATTGAATCGGCCTCAACCGCCCTTTCAGGCACTGCGTTCCAGATTCGAACAACTCGCTGCATGAAAAAATGTATTCTCCCCTCCACTCGGCTTCTTTTAGAGACTATTTTGAATCTGTGACCTCGAGTCACCGACACTCCCACCAGTGGGAACAGTTTTTCTCTTTCTAACCTATCAAATCCCCTCATGATTTTGAAGACCTCTATCAGGTCCTCGTAACCTTCTCTGCTCCAATGAGAATAATCCTCACCTCTCGAGCCTTTCCTCATAATCAAGGCCCCTCATTCCTGGTACCATCCTCGTAAATCTCTTCTGTACCCTTTCAAATGCCTTAACATCCTTCCTATAGTGTGGGGCCCAGAACTGGGGCAGTATTCTAACTGAGGCCTAACCAGTGTTTATAGGGTTAATCATAACCTCCTGACTCTTGTACTCTATGCCCCTATTTGTAAAGCCGAGTATCCCATATGCCCTATTTACAGCTGTATCTCCCTGTCCTGCCACCTTCAAGGATTCATTTACCTGCACCCCCAGGTCTCTCTATTCTTCACTCCCCTTAAGATTGTATTACCGCCTATATTGCCCCTCATTCTTTCTACCAAAATGCATTACTTCGCATTTCTCCACATTGAAACTCATCTGCCATGTGTCGCCCATTTTACCATTCTGTCTATGTCTTCCTGCAGTCGGCTCCTATCCTTCTCACTGTT